GGGTAATGTAATTAATGACAATCAACATGGGTTTATGGGAAATAGATCCTATCAAACTAATTTGATATCTTTTATGATGAAATTACAAGTTTGGTTGAAAGAGGTAAGAGTGTTGTTGTATTAGACTTCTGTAAGGTGTTTGGCTTGATAGCACATCACATTTTGATTAAAATAACCCTAAAATTAACATGGCACACATTGAATGGATTACAGGCTGGCTCACTAGTAGGGCTTAATATGTAGAATCATCATCAAATGGGTGTGTTTCTCGTGGGGGTTCCGCATGATTGGTTCTTGGCCCTATGGTCCTAGTTAACATTTTTCTTAATGACCTGGCGAAAACATAAAATCATCACAGATAAATTTTGCAGTAAACGACACAATAACTGGGGGAGTGGTAAATAATGAAGAGGACAGGTCAGTGATACAGAGAAATCTGGATTGCTTGGTAAACTGGGTGCAAACAAACAGTGTGTGTTCTTACTATGGCTAAATGTAGATGTATAAATCTAGGAACAAAGAATGTAGCCATACTTACATGATGGGGGACTCTATCCTGGGAAGCAGTGATGCTGAAAAAGATTTGGGAGTCGTGGTGGATGATCAGTTGACCACGAGCTCCCAGTGCGATGTTTTGGCCAAAAGGGCTAATGCAATCCTGGGGTGCATAAACAGGAGAATCTCAAGTAGGAATAGAAAAGTTATTTTACCTCTGTATTTGGCATTGGTGCAGCCACTGCTGGAATACCATGTCCAACTCTGGTATCCACAATTCAAGAAGGATGTCGATACACTGGAGAGGGATCAGTGAAGAGCCACGAGAATGATTAAAGGATTAGAAAACCTGCCTAATAGCGATAGACTCAAGGAGCTCAATCTATGTAGCTTAACAAAGAGAAGGTTCAGGGGTGATTTGATTACAGCCCATAATTACCTGCGTGGGGAATACATATTTAATAATGGGCTCTTCAATCTAGCAGAGCAAGGCATAACACAGTGCAATGGCTGGAAGCTGAAGCTAGACAAATTCAGGCTGGAAATAAGGTGTATGTTTTTAACAGTGAGAGTAATTAACCACTGGAGCAATTTGCCAAGGGTCGTGGTGGATTCTCCATCACTAACAATTTTAAAATCAAGACTGGACGTTTTTCTAAAAGTTCTGCTGTGGAATTGTTTTGTCCAAGTTCTCTGGCTTGTGTTATGCCGGAGGTCAGACTAAATGATTACAGCGGTCCCTTCTGTACCTTGGAATCTATGAATCTTTGGGGAACCCTCCCCCCCCCAGTTGCTGATGATCACATACAGCCTAAGTCCCCATTTTGAAATACTCCATTTCCTTGGAACCATACATTTGAACCCACTAGTCAGCTGAGCACGCCATTCCTGAGAGATTGAGTCACTGGAGGTTCATGGTGGGAGGTGGAACATATCTGTGCGCCTGGCTGACGAGTCATCATGTTCTGTGTATTTCTACCCACTGGAAATTTGCCACTGGCTGCCTTATGGGCAGGGTGGACTTGCTGAAACTGGTGTCTATTGCAACTAGACGGATCGAGACTTCCACAAAGGATGGGGTCGTTGGGAAGGACAAAAGGAGCTGCACTATAAGGGAGACAGACGCTGACGCGGAAGACATCTGTCTGCTGGGTCGTTCATCAGGTGCTGGAAGAGGCCAGTGTCATGTGACAGGCATAGTTGTCCATTCTGGCATGGGGAATGACCTGTTAACCTGAGTCACTGAGGCCTAGATCCACAAAGGGGACTTAGGCTGAGCATAGCATTGCAGCCCAGTGGAGTCCACAGCCCAGAGTCAGGCCCGCCCAGGCTCCCTAGAAAATACACAGGGCAAGTGAGGTGTCAGAGAACAGGTCCCACAGGAGGCAGCAGGCTGGGTGAGGAGCTGCCTAAGCTAGCCATTAGGAAATGTCGAGGAGAGGAGTGGGGCCTATGCTCGGCTCCTCAAAGGGCCGAGGAACCTAACGCTGGGTTGAAGCAAGAAGCCTGTCTGCAGTGGGGATGTGCAGCCATGAGCCTGCTCCTGTTGACGCTGCCCCTACTTTATATGAAATAAACATTCATTGGGCCAGCGAGAGAATGACCCTAGTCCAGTGGTTACAGCATAGGTGGGAGCACTGGGCTCAAGTCCCTGCTCTGCACTGGGCAAAGTGGGGTTTTGAACCCAGATCTCCCACTTCCTGGGCGAGTGCTGTAACCACTGGGCTTTGGTCAGGGGGGAGCGCGAGGGGGAGGGCAGGCATCACAATGTTTTGTGCAGGGCCTAATTCAGCAGGCATGCTCTTTGGTGGCCTTGGAGAATGCCCTCTGGATTAGACATAGACTGAGGCAGGCAAGGGAATGCCTGGTTTGAGTATCCTGCAGGCAGTCAGGACTTAGGTGACTTGGACATGCCCACTGGCCAAAATGTAGGAGCCCAGGGGACTCTACCAGAGGAAACTGAGAGGCCTACAGGGTTAGGTGGCAGCTGAGCAGGGGTTTTGAGTATCTACATTTGGATGTAGGTGCTTAAAATGGTGATTAGGCACCTAAATCCCTTTGTGTATCTAGTCTTAAGGGTAACATTTTCAAAAGGACTTAGGCACTCATAAATCTCATTAGAAGTCAGTGAGATTTGGACCTCTAAGTCTCTTTTTAGACCACTTGATCACATTTGAAAATGTACCCCAGGGGCCTTGAGCCAGGCTGGGTGTGTCCTCACCTGGTTGAGAATTAAGTAGTTGCTGTTCTTTTTCTAATCCCAAATCTGATTCCTTGCCCTGGCTCCAGCAACTGATCTGAGCAGGCCTAACCCTGGAATGGGGAAGGCTGAGGGAATCCCGTCCTCTAACAGGGACTGAAAAGCAGCCTCAAGGATCAGCCACGGAGGAGCCAGAACTTGGTGACTGGGTCCCATTTCCAACTCACACTGCCACCAACTCTGTATTGACTCTTCTGCCTGCCTGCCGCACGACACGCTTGTTTACGTTCTTTTCGGAGGCTACTCTCGCCCCAGAGGGGCTCTCTGTTTTCACTAATATAGTAACGACATGTGAGTCACTAGTTAAACACAGGGCAGCATCTAATTGGCAGAGTTAATTTGCTGGGGATGCTTTTTCTAAAGCAGTTCTTCGCGCCGCAGTGGGTTGTAAGTGGCTCTGAAAGAAAAACCCCAAAGATTTGTGACGAGCTGGGCATTCGTTAGCTCTGGGAAGCGTAAGGTTTATTTCTGTCGGCAAAGTGCCCTGCAAATATTAACTAATCAGAAATCACATCACTCATTATGCAGATTGGGAAAGTGAAGTGCAGAAAAGCAAAGTAACTCAGCCAAGCCTTCCAGGTGCAGGGGCTGTGTCCAGCTTGAAGCTGGGGTCTCAGACTCTTTTGTGTTTATTTTGAACATCAAGTTAATCAACCAGACCCCAAGAAGGGCTGTTGTCATTGGACTCGTGAAAGTCTGTTGAGAGTTACCGAGGAGTCAAAGAAGGGAAACTGAGGCAGGGTGCTACAGCTCCACGCCTAGCCAAGTGGGTACTTTGTGACATGTGGCAACAATGAAATTGACGATACTGCACACGATACTGTTCAAAGCACAAAATACACATGCTAAAATAGAAGATTTTTAAATATTCTCTTTATGGTACAGAAAGGACAATGATTTTTCTCATCTTGTCAACAGAATAACTGCAAGCCTCAGCACCTTCAGAGCAAAATGCAAAACCCAGCCTTCCCTCAGTACTAAGAATGGTTCATTATAGTAATAATACCAACAAAATATCTCCTTCTGAAGACTCCCTACAGAATGGAGGCTGGGGGAGTGGGTGGTAAGAATGAGAAAGACGGATCTTTTTGCATTCACTTTAATACCGTGGTAAGATGTTTAAATACCAGTGGTCAGTGCAATATAAGAACCCAATCAGCTTAATAGATTTTAAAACCAGAAAGGACCATTGTGATCAAAGAAAGATTATAGCAACTTGGATGCTACAGTACTTGGAAAAGTAATCGGTAAAACATTTTCAGATTGAAGTGTGATTTATAAATTGTTCCCTTAATATGGACAAGCAGAGATCGCTGATTAGATGGTTGCCTAACAGCCCTGAGAATAGAGCGATCCCTCGTAATAAACATAACTGGTGTTCTGTAGCTACAAAGCAGGTCATGTTGCCAAAGGCAAGATCCATTTTATTTTATAGGTGAACTAATGCTTCTTAATTCGACTAAATCTCACCAATACTTAGCAAAGGCTCAAGGTGCTTCATTCGGTCACCATGAACTAAGCGTGGACTATCAGTTAACCCTAATTTTGCACTCCAGGCTGCCCACTTGAAACCCATTCAGGTGAAGGGCTTGTATGGAACTCCAGTTATCCTTGCCCAGGGGCTTAGTGAAAGGCACAGGACCTGGGTATTTGCTTCTTTGCCATGATTTCATAGAGGACAAAGGAGTGAGGTTACCAGTGGCAGAATGTTATGCTTAGAGACTCCAGCCCCACATAACATTATCAAAAAGACAGTCGCTGCCGCAAAGAACTTACACTCTACGCGAGCACAGCGTAGGGGTCCAAAGTGAAAGCGAATGCAGGCGTGTAGCTTAACAGGGTGCTAGTGGGGGAAACGAGTGTAAACAAGGAGTGTAAAGGAGTTATCGTGGATGGAGGAACGATGCAGACACTAAGCGCTGTCAATTCAAACGAAGCGCTGCCGTCTTTAGAGCAAGCATTCAGGGCTGTGACGTTATCTTAGAGCAGGGGTGGCCAACCCGTGGCCCCGGAGCCACATGCGGCTCTTCAGACGTTAATATGCGGCTCCTTGTCTAGGCACCGACTCTGGGGCTGGAGCTACAGGCACCAAGTTTCCAATGTGCCGGGGGGTGCTCACTGCTCACCCCCTGGCTCTGCCACAGGCCCTGCCCCCACTCCACCCCTTCCCGTCCCCTCCTCTGAGCCTGCCGTGCCCTCGCTCCTCCCCACCACAGGCTCCTGCACACCACGAAACAGCCGACTGGGAGGTGCAGGGAGGGAGGGAGGGAGGGAGGGGAAGGCACTGATCGGCGGGGCTGCCAGTGGGTGGGAGCTGATGGGGGGCTGCTGACGTATTACTGTGGCTGTTTGGCAATGTACATTGGCAAATTCTGGCTCCATCTCAGGCTGGCCACCCCTGTCGTAGAGTGAGGCTCTGCACTGAGGTGTGCATAAAACCAGCGCCTTCTATTCAGCCCTTCCCCTCGGCTGCGTTCTGGCTGATCTTCCGACTTCAGTGCCAAAAGTGAGTTGAGCCCCACAGAGCCAACACAGCTAAGGACGAGGGAGCTGGATTCTGCACCTCCTCCTTGGGCCTAGGATGCTTTATCCTGCTCCTAACACACTTACCTCCTTGCAAAGCTATTTAAGAAGACAGTGCTGGAGGGACAGGATTTGAAGACAATGGACTTGCACAAGTATCTAAGAGCATCATTGAGCCTGCAGAAATTATCACTAGTGATGATCTGGGATGGGGAAAGAACCCAGCTTGACTCAACTCCCAGGTTGAGTTCTCTGAGCTGCCAACTGGGAGGAAAAGTTCTTCTTATTTATTAACTGAGCATCGTTAATCGGAAATTGCTGAGATGCAGTGAATGCGGCACCTCACCACGTCATTCTGAGCCAAGCCCCATTTAAGAATTGTTAAGAAAGGAAGCATCATTTAGTGGGCAGCGCCTGGACAGCATAGCTGGGGATCCAGACTTCTGGCTTCCTTTCCCAGATCTGCCAATAATTCAGTGAGACTTTAGGCAAGTCACTTAGCTCCCTTATGTTAGAAAAAGGTCCATGGGTTGTTTACACCACAAATGTTCAGGACCTTGGTTTTCGGTCTCCTCGAAAAGACCCCATTCCACTTGCCCAGTGCTTTGCTGGGAAACTGGTTCTGAGCTGACTTGCAAGGGAAACCACCACCACCTATAACACAGATATCACTTCTTGCAGCACCTAAAGGTTACTTGAAGGTCTCTCATCTGAGAACTGGATCTCCTGAGCATAGCACCTAGATAGCACAGTGGGTGGCAGATATTGGGCAGGTAGAGTTCACGGGGTCATGGCCCCAGCTGATTGGCTGCAGAGAGAAGCCAGACTGTTCCCAGACCCCAGCTGCTTGCGCTATTTGTGTGAAGAGATGGAAAACACCTTAAGCTGCTGAACAGCATCTCCCCTTTGGCAAAGTAAGGAGCAGGCGTGACAGTCTCTGAAAGAGATCCCGTTCTCTTGCTCTGAGCCAATGTAAAGCCTCGAAGGTGCGGCTGGTGCCAAACCTTACTAATGGCACAGAGCAGGGAGTTATTTACAACAGGATATTCCCCATCCCCAGAAGGAAAATGGAAAAAAGACGCTCACTAGTACTGGTGAAATAGGCCTGCCCCTGGAATACGCACACAGGACTGAAGAAGAACACTCAGGTAGGCCTGTTCTTGTCCCTTCAGAAAGTTGAGGATTAGTGGGCTACTGAGTACCAGATGGATGGCCCCAGGGTGGCAGGTGCTGCAGATTCATGCGCTCCTAGGGGGAAATCCTGGAGTATGTGAGCAAGCAGCAGAATAGGAACCAAGATCCAAATGAGCAAATTTATTCCCAAGTGCCATTGCACAACGGTCAGTGCAGCTATTGTCCATAAATTTGGCCCAGCATGGAGATGGTCTCTGCAACATGTAGGAGTTCCAGAGGTGACATCAAGTCGTTTTCCAGGATGGCTTCGTGTATACCTTTTGGGTATGGGAGTGGGCTGCCTGAGCTGTGGCTTGGCTTGAGTTGGAGGTGGCTGGGTTCTGTTAAGCTCTAGAGAAAGGAAAATGAAGAGCTATGTATGCTGGAATCTCCTAATGGCGGGGACTGTACCTTGGAGAAGACCTGAGGTGCAGGAGGCTTGAATAGTGCTGGATGGCTCAACTCATTGGAAACACAAACCTGTTTATGCCTGGCAGACCTAATGGGGTGTTTGTTGCCTCTGAATTTACTGAATTTGCATATTTTATTTTTCAATAATTTATTATTTACAGTAGAGTCCAGAAGTCCTGCTACAACAGATTATGTATTATTTTCTGATCCATATGGAGCTCAATTAGGAACTCACATCAGTTCAAACCAGGAGTCAGACTAGTTTAATGGTGATGTGAGAACAGTTTCACATCACCATTACATTGGTCTGACAACCCTCAGCAAATGGAGCTCCAGCGTAGATGTACCTTAGGATTACTCAGTAAGGATGCTGCTTGTAAGGTATACAAAGGGGTTACACCTGCTTGACTTGATCCATCTTAAAGCTGTACTACCCTAAAAAAGGGGCACAGGAAATGAGCCAGGGAAGTCGACTCTGACCATGACAATCGAGTGGCAGTATCAAAGTATGTATATTGTACTCCTGGGAGAATTCTGCACCACTGCGCATGTGCAGAATTAGTATCTCCTGCAGATTTTTTGTTTCCCCCCAGAATAAGAGATTCTGACAGGGAAGCAAAGGGACACCAAGAGAGGGGTTATGTGCCCCTCCCCAGCAGTGGTCCTGAGTGGGCATGTTGGTTTGGGTGTGGGGTGTGACCGGTGTGGAGGGGCAGGCCTGGCCCTTGTGCTGTCAAGGTTTGGGTTCAGCCTTGCTGCCAAGCCTGTGTTCAGGGGAGGCTACTGGGTGATCCCCCATCTCCATGCAGCTAGTGGCCTGCGCTCCCCACTGGGAAGCAGCCCCAGTGTGCGCCCCTTGCCGTCGTCACTGCACGTGCCCTGCAGAGGCGTGGGGCTGACACAAGAAGCTATGGGGAAATTGCAGGGAGCCTTGGTCAGGGGAGTCATTTAGGGAGGGTGGGGGTCACCTGCTGCCCCCTGGGTTTTGCACCGGGGTCTGCTTGCGGTGTACACCCCAGGCCCAGGCCGGGCGCTTACCTGCAACACTGCACAGGCAGGTCCCTTTCTCCAGGAGCCAGGGTTCTCCAGCTGCAGTGGTCAGTTTCCTCTGTTGCACAAAGGCCTCTAGGGGTGGGGCAGGCAAGGAAGGGGTCAGTCGGGGGGGAGCACAGGGGTGCCCAGTGGTTGTGGTGAACAGAGGGAGCACAGAGCCCCCAGGGATGTGGGTGGGTGGGTGTGAGAGAGAGAGAATCTCCAGGAGAAGGGAGAGATTAGGGCACAGGGTTGTGCCCTGAGGGAGGGAGCAAGCAGTCAGTATGGGAGGAGCAGCTGAGAGAGAACAGTCACTGGGACAAGGATCATGATGGAAGTGGAGCTGAAGAAGAGTGTGGGGCTAAGTGCAGCTAAGTGGGTCTTGGGGTCTGTTTGCCCCCAGAGAAGCAGGGAGCACCCTCACTTCTCCCTGGGAAGAGACTGGGGACAGATCCCACTCAGCTAATGCATTCTCTCAACTGACTAATCTGCTCTCTGCCTTCCTTCCCATCTCTCCTTTTTTTTTAGGGTAACTTATACCTTGATCCTGCAGTGAGGATCCACGGGTTTGCAGGGGACTGCCCACCTAGAGTTCATGCCTTCATCAGATCGATAACGTGTGTGCAGCACTTCATGTAAAGTGCGCTAGCATGCTTTGTGGGCATCATCTTTTGCAGGAAGAACGGAGAATTTTCAGTACAGTTTTGTTCGATCGTGATTAAAATGAGCAATTTAAAACAACATTCTACTTTAATGTCGTTTTGCTGTTTGGTCTTCTGTAATGTAATTTAAATGAAAATCCAGGATTATAACTGAAATTCAGGGTATTGGTTACCAAGTATTTGTAAGTTAATTTTCATGTGTTTAGGTTTAGGAAATGCTGAATAGTTATTGTGACTTTTCTGTTATGTAGTTTAAATGAATTATTACTCAGAGTTCTGTATTAATATGCCTAGTACGGAATCTATTTGTCAAAACACATTTCCTGAAATCTTTTTTTTTTTGGGCTGTATAGTTAGACATATTTGCTGATAGCTATTTTGGAACAAAATTACCAAAATTGAAACTGGTGTGATTCTATTGTGTTACGTGCAGAATTTTAAAATAGTGTGTGCAGAATTTTTAATTTTTTGGTGCATAATTCCCGTAGGAGTAATATTAGCAAAACCCTCCAATAGCCACTTGTTCCAAACATAGCCAGGCTATGCAGGTGACAAGGGGTATCTGAGTAATTTTCCTGAATGTCTTTTCTCAGCAGATACCTGTAAACTGCACCCCATGGATTTACATATCTGAATTTCAATTTTTAAAGTCTGTATAGACTGCAGAGTAGGTTACTGTGATCACCCCTTGAAAATATAAGGCTCTGGGGAGAATGTTCCTTTGTATCAGCTTGTTTTTCTCCTTCACTTTTAGACTGAGCTCTGAAAAGAAACTCAAAAGGCGAGATCATTCGGAAGACTCACAAAGAGACCAATTACAAGGCAGAAAAAAGTAACTGACTTTAACCATAATTTTATTAAGGCGTAAATGTCTATCAGCCAGACGGGAGCCGGTCCTGTCACATGACAAACAGAGTGACATTGTGTGTAATGCAATGGCTTCTCTACAGTTCGTATGAGCAGAATGAGATCATCATCAGAGTTACTTATGCACTAATTCCAGCTCCTCTTTCCATTACTTACTGGTCTTCAGAACAGGGGACCTGTGTGCTCTTAGCCCAGCTGGGAAATTGCAGGGAGTGGGGGCAGGAAAGGGGAGAAGTCAGGTAGCTTGCATGAATTCAATCACAAGGACTTCACGTGGCCCAGGACTGAATGGCTACTTGTCAAATATTGAAATGGTTTTAAGTGACAGGGAAGCTAAACTCACAGTTCAAAAGGCACCTATGCTAACCACTGAGCCGGTGGAATGGTGAAGTGATGGTGCGTGATTGGATGGATGTCAGTTTCATATAAATACATTTTCCTTGTTAAAGAAGCGTATGGCTTTATTATCCTTGTAACGCTTTGCTCTGGGGCGATGCTCTAACCTCCCCGCTACTTTGTAAGCATAAGAAGACAAAGTCCTCTTCAGAATTATGTGCACTCATCTGGCAAGCTCTTTAAAGGACCACGCCCTTGTACTATTCAATACAGGCAAGTAGAACAGCAGCGGCTCCAGCTCTCCCTGGGGCCTTTCAGCCAGCCATTTCAATAGCAGCACGCAAGAAGTTAAAAGTGGACCCTCAGCACATCATGAGCGGAGACTGACCTTTTACAATTCATGCACAGTATCGTTAAGGACTTCTGCTTTTCAGCTAAGCAAGGACGACACAGGAGGTGGCCGCAGGGAAGCTGGTAAACAGGCTCCATTTTGAAATAAGAAGAAAATGTTCTATTACAGGAAGCGCATCCTTGAACCGGCCGGCTACTGTGCTCTGGAAAGTTGAAAGAAGAAAGTTTTGTCAATGTTAATGCAAGTCAGTTGATCCTACAGCAACCGTGGCAACATGGTACCTATTCCACACCTGAAACTCTGGCACAAGATGTTAGATGGAGGCTATCAACCCGATTCTGAGGTGAGGTGCACCTACAAGCAGCTAGAGCTGCAAGCGCTCACACTATCTTGGGAATGGGCCCTGTTTTCCTTATAACAAGCTACCATGTCAAAACTCCAAGGATATTCCTCTTGCTTCCTAGCATTTCTGCTTGGGAAGACTAGATCAAGGTGAAGTTTGGTACCACCAAAATTTTATTGAGGATGAAAGCTAGCAAAAGAATTCTTGCTTTTGTCTAGGCTAAAAATCACCCCTTTTCAAACACTGGCATTTGAGTACTGAACTTGGTCTCTGTCAGACATCTGCACGGGTATCATACTCCACTGTATGAAGAACTTAACATATTTCCTTAAATACCACTTTGCTTTTTGTGCCCATAATGCCTAGAGCGGGCTATTCAGATTCCATCTCAATGGTGATAGCTCAACAATAGAACACACTGCTAGTGAAAGCAGCTCAGAAACCTGCATACACTATGGGAACTGCACGTGGTCCCCCATCTCCTCCGATGGCACAAGTTAGCGTCTAGCATCTGATTTCTGACACACAAAATGGGCAACAGCTTCACGCAGCGGATGAGGAAGGATGGTCTAGTAGTCAGAGCGCTGCCCTGAGATTCCGGTTCAATTCTCTGCTCTGGCACAGACTTCCTGTGTGACCTTGGGCAGACCACATAGTCTCTCTGTGCCTCGGTTCCCCATCTGTATAATGGGGATAATAGTACAGCTGTGCTTTGCCAAGGGGTTGGGAAAACAAAGCATTAAAGACTGGGAGGTACTCAGATGGTTATTGCTAAGTAAGGCTTCTTAGGAGACACTTTGGGTAGATTTACGAACTACTCTATGTCAAAAGAAGGGAAAAAATGCACAATCCAACCTGTGGGAGTCCTTATTAAATTATATTAATACAAAATCTACAGCCTACCATTGCGCTTCTGAATGCCAAAAGTGAAACCAATCGGTTTGCTGCTTACCAGCTGGGGCATTTGCATTCCACGAACTGCTGCAGCCCCCCTCGCTATGCGGCTGCTGCTGGCCTTTTACCAACCTAGCTGTAAATGATGGCCTAGAGCTGAGTGCAGAGGTCAAGGCAATGTCCAAGCTTTCGGACAGCTTCTGTTCATGAGAGACTGGACCTGCAGAGAAAGGCATGAGATCTAGAAATAGCCAAGTTTTGCGGGGGGAGGCATCAAGGGACAAAATAAAAGCTGCTTCGCTACTAAACACATTCTTAATTTTGAAGGGATGGTCTGAACATAAGACAAAAGCCTTTTTATTTCTCTTCAAAACAGTGTCTTAGGGCTGAGTTAACACACGACAGGCCAGCGTGTGAATCTACAGCGCAGCCGCGCACTAATATCCCGTGTGGTCACCGCTATGGCCCAGTGAAAGGCCCGGACTGAGACACGCAAAAGGACTTTTCAACTCTCATTTTACTTTTTCCCATGTCATGCGGTGGGGTGGGTATGCAGCCAGGAGAGCTCAGTTCTGACTCTGCCACTGATTCACTGTGATGGACTGGCCCCATCACTCTAACTCTTCGTGCCTCGGCTTCCCCACCTGTGAAGTTGGGATACTGATACCTTGCCCAGCTGGGTAAAGTGCTTTGAGATCTAGGGAAGACAAGCCCAATAGACATGCTACGATTTATTTACTTTTATTGCTTGGGACTTACAAAGAGGACTAAGGGAGTTAGGTGCCTGAATGCCATTGAAGTTTAGGCCCCGATCTTACAAATGCTTATGTGCCTGCTTAAAGCCTGCACTTCAGTGGCATTCAAACACCTAATTCCTTTGGGCCCTTTTGAAAATCCCAATCACCCTTTCTTTACTTCTGCACTTCGCTCAGCTTGCCCAGCTGACGCTAGACTGTTCAGTTTCACTTTCCGGTCTGTAGGCACTAGCTCAGCGCCATGGGTTTGGTTTCTAACGCTGATGGGGAATGTTTACACCACAAAGGAAATGCTGTTTGGGAGACTGGGAGAGTTCAGATCTGAACAGTGCGGCTTCAGCCCACCTTTGACATTTTCATGTACCTACTGTGGACGAACGTTCTCCATGCCACCTTCAGCCCAAATCCTATTTGGTTTACATTATGCCTTTGCAGAATGTATTCAAGAAAATTCAACTCAGCTCTTCAGGGAGACAATCCTTCTGTGTTCAACACACTCATGTGCTGTGTGTGGGCCAGATTCCCTAAACTTCACTGCTTCCGTGGCTCTCCACTTCTCTTCAAATTACCCATGCCCACATAGTCTCTTCTTCCTTGGTTATTCAACTTCATTTACCTCTCTTTATCTGTGATGTTATTAAATAATGTAGTAACTATAATTATGCCACACAACTGATAAGAAAGATGCAGAGCAAAATGGAAACGCATGCATATAAAGGGCTGTGTGTGTTCTGGAGTAAAGCCAGAGTTCAATACATTCTAGGTATTTCTGCACAAATGAGGAAGGAAATAAATATGCCAAGAAAAATGCTTTACATGACCGAACATGCCTGGAGACAGCAGGCCTATCATCCCCCTTGTGCTAAGCTGATCGTTATAGGACAGAGACTGAACGCGCTACTTGTTAAGAGAATGAAAAAGCAGGAGCAGTAGGTCCCATTCTGGAGGAGCAGATGCATTTGTCTTGTGCTTTAACCACAAAGCCATCCTTCCTCTCCAACCAGTGTAACTGGCTCAGCAGTCAAAAAGCTTGAGTGTGCCATCAATCCACGATTGCTATCCAGCACCCCACGCCCAACTTTACAGTGACGGGGAGCCCGAGAGGCTGCCTACATTACAGCAAGTGCCACCCAGCCAGAGAACCCACTTACAACATGGCTATCTCCTGGCTTGGTTGACAATGACAGCTTGTAGCACAGAAGGGACCTAAATGGCGTGTTAAAGCCTTGGATGATCAGTGGGACTGCTCACCGACTTAGGGGTGCAAAACTGGGCCCATAGTTGGTGACATGACAGTTGGCAAATGATTCACGATGACGAGCTCATGCCCAATGGCTCTGCTCACAGACATTTTTCTAACAGAGAGTGAAAGCGGCTAATACTGAGGGGGGCGATACCAGTGTCAAACGGCCCTCCCCCACCCTCCCGGGACACTTGCTACAGCCCATTTTTAGCAACTGTAAAGGCTTCTCCTTTGGAAATGTCCTCTCTGGCTTAATCACCCACAGTCCATGGGTAGAACCTTCCCCTCCAGCCTTTCAAGCGCTGTCCCTTGGCCTCTAGAACTTCACTCCGATTGGACACACACACACTTGCTCTTTCTGCTATCCATTGGTTTTAAGGCTTTACGCTCCCTTGGCAGGGATATCCATCAACACAAGCATTTAGTGTTACTGACTGGGATGTGACAAGTGCTTCTCGAGCTGTGCTGTGTTAAGTAAATGCCACTTGGGGGAGAACGGTTAGGAATGTAAGCAGCAGAAGGGTCAGTAGAGCACATTTGTGATTGCCGTGACCTGTGTGAGCAGCCCACACATGATTCTACAAACCAGTTCATTCGGCGCAGGGAAGATATTTGAGAGTTTTCCCCCATTATGGGGACGATGGGCCAGCACGCTGCATGCCTGGGTTAGTAAAATCCCCATGATAATTGTTTTGCACAGGCTGCAAGAGATGATTTTCCAGCAGAGCAAAATTTGTCAATGAACTGAAAATGATAGGGACAAAGGAAATAAAAGACTAACGGAAAAATTAAGTGATCTGAACCAATTATGGGCAAATAAAATGGTGTAGATTGACACAGGCAGAACAATGAGGTCATGGCCTGAAAAAAACAAAACAAAACAAGTAAAATCTGGCTATGAAAGAAAGAATGAGCTGGGTAGAGGAAAGGGGAAAGTCCGACATGAATGACACGCTAAAACCATTTCCATAATGTTTGGCAGGAGCAAAAGACAACAGCCTCAAAAAGCGCCCCTAGGTTTTGGTGTGAGAATCTGCAGGAGATGCGAGGATTAAGTGAAACCACATTTGGGATGGCAGTGTGGGACTCTGGTCCTGGGAGATCAGCAAGGTGAAGAAACAGTGAGAATTAGGGAGGCGAGTACCTGTCGAGCAGTCCATTTGGGCCAAAGGCGAGTCACTCTCCGTTTTCATTTTTTTAGCACCGCTCTCGGAGGTAGACATGGCTAGTAAGTTTGTGGTAGAAAAATAAGAGGGTTCTACGTGGTTGCTGTCATCAGGGCTTTGCTCCATACAGTCCATTTTCCTTTTCAGAGAAGATATGGTTAGGGAAGAAGGTGTGACCATCCCTAAGACCTGAGCCCTCCCGAGGAGGTTGGTGCCCGGGATGCTGTGCTGTAATAGGAAGTGGTCTATCCTTGCCTTTAGAGAGGGGTGAGGGAGGGGCTGGGAGTGTTGGCTAAAGGCAACCCCAGTGAAAGGATCGCTGGGCACCCGACCCCAGGAAGCCTCACTCCGGTTGCATTTCTCCAGAGTGCTCTGGTCAATCACCTTGCCAGATGGCAGCAGCATTGGGAAGGGCATTATCTCCAGAGTGATGGGGTCCAAGAACTCTTCAGGGATATCCTGAACAACATCGACTAGCTTCTGGAGACTCTGCTGTTCGCAGTCAGAGTTGCTTAAGGGCACACACTCGCTTTCCATTGGGAACATGAAACCGGCACTCTGGATGCCCAAGCCCTGAGCCAGGCACGCAGAGGCCACTTGGAACACGCTGTCCATCACTTCCTGCGGGCACGACTTAGCTGGCTGTCCCCAAACCTCCAGTCTTTTAATGCAAGGGAGGCCACCTCCCGCTACGTGGGAGATGCAAATTTTTAAGTGCGATACATTGCTCAGTGAGGCAGGGCCTTTATTCCATAGGTCTTGAGATGCAGAACCAGGGTAGAAGACAGCTTCCATCTGATGGAAAGGAGGCCTTGGCTTGAAGCCCCTATGGCTGAACGTCACTTTGCTTTGATTTTTTAGAATGGCTTTACCCACTAGTGTGAAAACGTCTTTGTCCGACACAGGCTGACCAGCCAGACCTGAGAACTGAGACTCGGGGCTGTTCCAAGAGCTTTTGTTCAATGAGGTAGACGTGTAAATGTCCAGCCCCGTGAAATTCTGATACCCGCCCGATGAGATGTCTATGTTAATCCTGCAGATTTCTATGTTGAAGGGAAAGGAGAGAGTAACATGGACTGGGGGCTTGATGAAATATTCACTGCGAAAGCCCCGGTTTCTCTTTGCAAGGTCTTCAGAGATGAGGTTTTCAACTTCATAACCATCAGCAGAAATCTGTGTTTAAAGAGAAATGAGAGGATACTGGGCTTGATTTGACCCAAAAGAGGAAAGTGAGTTTGCAACCACTTTTACAGTATTTTTGAGGCATTAAATGATCAACTGCGAATAACAAAACTTAAAGGATGAACTGTGCGCTCTTGATTGTCTTCCCCAGGGCATGTGTGTTCCTGAGTTGTTAGTCTAGGGATGCTGGGCTCTGCAAACCCATTTGGTACAGTAGTGTTGCTCAAGACGTTAGAAGCATTCACCAATTATGACAGTGCAGCTTTAAGGAAATGAGAATTTAATTGAAAACATTTATTGTAAAGGATTTTGCCATAAATTCATTCTAGACTAAAATATGGAGGAGAGGCTAAATTCAGCACTGATGTAAGAGCAGGCAACTCCACTCACTTAATTGCAGTCACCTTGCTTGTACAGACCAGCAATGTAATCAACCCCGTCTAGGAAGGGTTTTAAATACTGTGTAAATAAATGCTGCATTTTTCACAAGACAAAACCCAGGTTCTCTGTTGTTTCTGAGATGCAGTTTGGGGGGCCTTGCCATTCAAAATAGGCTTTGAATTAAGAACTAGGTAATCTCTAAGGCAGAGAGAAAAAGGTATCTGTCTATATTAAAATGTTGACTATGTAAGCACTTGAATAATGATAACATTACCTACCACCTTTCATCTGAAGATCTCAGAACTAATTAACCCTCAGAACTCCCCTATGAGGTGTAACAGTGTTATAACACCAATTTTACATAGAGGTTAACTGAAGCAGAGAAAGGATAAGGGCCAAATTTTTCAGAGTGACCTCCTAACTGGGGGTCCAACCTGAAATACCTTGGCACTGATTTTTAGCAGTGATGAGCACCCACAACTCCAAACGAAGTCAACAGGAGTTGCAGGTACCCAATATCCCAAATTACCAGATGCAGAAAAAGAACCCATGAGTCCTAACTCACCATTATACCACACTGCCCCAATTCTTTGCAATAAGAGTGGTTAGCTTTGAAGATGAGTCTTGAAGACTTGAGGGGCTTTCACAAAAAAATGTTATAAATTAAAACTAAATTGTCAACACCCGCCCCCAAGCAATTCCACCCAGTTTTGCAAAATTAAAAAATCCTGTTGTTTTCGCTGTAACCTACCTGACCATGGCCCTTTAAGTGTGATGCCACAAGAGCATCTCTCTGCACATTACACGGAGATAATTCCAACAGACACTGCTCAGGTGTTTTCTGGGGGATTTCACCACAGAGCCTGGTGAGTAAAATTGGTTGCTTTTTCTTAGAAAGATTTGCATGAGCATCTGAGAATGCTCTTAAGCAAACATTATCTCAGACACAAATGGTGTAATGAGTGAGCACTCCTTTGTCTACTCTGTCCAGCAGAGACAAGGACTGCTTATTCTCTCCACCTAACCAAGGGATACCAGAGCCGACCCTCTATGCCTTAAGCCGCAGAAAACACAATGCTTTTTTATTTTTACCTTGTTGCAGTGAATTCTTGGCTTGAACTGTGGGAGGCAGATGTTTATTACCATCTTTGCAGTTTGAGGACTCAACTTCCAAGCATCAGAGTCAGCTAGTAAAACTAAAGGCAAAAGCAAAACATAAATGTTAGTTTATAGGAAAATAGGAGACTCTTGTGTAAACGGTTCCTGAGTCACAGGTGAATTGCAAGTCTGACTGCTTACAAAATGCAGTTCAGATTCAAGTGGGTGAGGCTTTTAGCAACTCATGAGAAACCCAAGTGAGCGTGTCATAGGTGATTCTGGGTTAAGATGCAAGATTAAGTTAAAATCATTCACGATTCAAAGGAGAAAAATGTCTGAGAAGGAAGCCTAGGGAATGAATGTTTTTATGAAAATTCTAATTTGTAAATAAACCAGTGATTAGATGCAAGACTTATCAAAGGGGAGTGTGCTCTAGAGAGGAAGGGTTTGGTAGGGACTTAGTCCCTGCCCTGCCATCCATTCAACCTGAAGGAGTTTTTCAAAAGATGCCTAACTCTCAGCAGCCTAATTCCCCTTTGTGTCTTTGCAAATCTTCCCCGCTAAGACCTTGGTCAAATCACTTAACCGCTCTGTGCCATAGCTTACACTATGCTCCGAGACGGCTAGGGCACTGATCTAGGAGTCAGAAGGCCTATTCTCGTCTCTGCCATCAACTTGCTGCGTGACCTTGAGCAAATCATTTTACATCTCTGTCCTTGTTTCCTCTTCCATCCTGTGCCTGTCTTGTCTATTTAGGTTGTAAGCAAGCAAGCCGGGGGGCAGAAACTGTCTGGTAGTAAAAGGTCTAGCACAATAGGATGTGAGATCTCAACCAAGGAATCGAGATGTTACTGTAATGTAAATAAGTAACAATGCACAGTGGTTGCAAGGATAAATGTTTCTAAATGCTCTGAAATCCTCAGATGAAAGTTACTCTTGAATGCAAAATTAATAACCATTACCTAATAGCTGCTCTCTGTTATCCAACAGATCACTTGGTGCTTTAGGAAAGGAGTACTTGTGGCACCTTAGACACTAACAAATTTATTTGAGCATAAGCTTTCGTGACCTACAGCCCACCTCATCGGATGCATCGAGCTGTAGCTCACGGAAGCTTATGCTCAAATAAATGGGTTAGTCTCTAAGGTGCCACAAGTCCTCCTTTTCTTTTTGCGGATACAGACTAACACGGTTGCTACTCTGAAACCTGTCTTGGTGTTTTAGGGAGATCAACAAAATTCTGAGCACTGATCAAGTCAACTCTTTCAAACATGTTCAGAAAAGGAAGCCAGGAGAACACACAACCTTTTGCATTCAAAGAACTAAACAAACTGATTAGACACGATTCTTTTTAAAAGTAAGAATTTTAACCTCTTAATGTGGGTGTAAACCTCATTGCTTGGAGCAATCTTATAATCACATACTTGCAAATTCTATCAAGAAAAGGGAGCCCTTTAAATGATTTCCAGTTGAGGGTATTTGTTCAGCCTAACTGGATTTTTGCAAGCGCTTTTAGGTGTACAATGGGATTATAAAATGAACTGAAATCAGGTCAGTGTGTAATGCTTCTTATACCTGTCTAGTAAACGTACAAGCATAACACAGCCTGAACACTGATTAAGTGCAGATGTCAGAATACAGATAAATGGTGACATTGGCTCTAAAGTCCAAATTCAACGTAAAAAAATCTCAAGTCACCCATGAAAGAGTAAGTTTGAAGCTTATGTTACAAACGCCTGTCTGATAGTTTTTGGTGGATCAGGCTGTGTTTGTTAAAAGGAGACCAGTGTGCTCACATATAATAAATGTCAATTTCACGTAAGATAAACAGAGAGGCATTTTCAAGTCTCTATTTAGGTTAAAAAGTGCAAGGTCTGCAATCTATAGCAGTGCCAGGCTTGCTGCTGGAAATACCATCTCTCGAAAAGTAGAACTCTGTGTACATCTGTCCATTCTTGATCATGAAAGATCCTATGGAACTTTTGGCCCACCCCGTTCAGCAACCCATCTCTGGCAGGGACTAGCACTACATAATTGAGAGGAAGGCACAAGTCATTCCATAGTGCTGAATTACGTGATAGCCTGCTCATAAGGGAAGTTTCTTCCTAACCCCAGGCACTTTCCTGCTAGCTTCCATCCTAGGTTTAAATCCATTCAAAATATGTTTTAGCCCAGTGGTTTTCCAATTTTTTTTCCTGGGGCCCAGTTGAAGAAAATTGTTGATGCCCACGACCCAACGGAGCTCGGGCTCAGGGGTTTGGGGTGTGGGAGGGGCTCAGGGCTGGGGGTTGGGGTGAGGGCTGCAGCTGGGAATGATGGGTTCAGGGTGTGGGAGGGGTCTCTGGGCGGGGGCAGAGGGTTGTGGTGCAGGAGGGGGTCAGGGCTCTGGGCTGGAAGTGCAGGCTCTGGGGTGGGGCCAGGGATGAGGGGTTTGGGGTGCAGGAAGGGGTTCCAGCTTGGGGGGGGAGGGAACTCAGGGCTGGAGATTAGGGCATGGGGTTGGGGCACGGACTTACCTCTGGCGGCTCCCAGTCAGCAGTGCAACCAGGGTGTAGAGGCAGGCTTCCCACCTGTCCTGGCGCTGTGGACCGCACTGCACCCCAGAAGCAGCCAGCAGCAGGTCCGGCTCCTAGGCGGAGGCATGCAAGCGGCTCTGCGTGGCTCTCGCCCACAAGCACTGTCCCGCCCCGCCCCGAGCTCCCGTTGGCCGAGTGCAGAGCCCGTGCTCGGGGAGCCCGGTGGCTCCCCCCGCCGAGAAGCTGCACCCGCTGCTGGCTGCTTCCGGGGCACAGCACGGTGTCAGAGCAGGTAGGCACTAGCCTGCCTTAGCTGGGCAGCACCACCGACGGGACTTTTAACACCCTAGTCGGCGGTGCTGCCCAGAGTGACCTAGTGCCTGTCATGCCGTGACCCAGTACGGGGTGGCGACCCGAACTTTGAAAAACGCTGTTTTAGCCTGTCCATTGACAACACCCCTAGTACAGTGTAAGTGCGTAGGCTTTTTTTGAATTCTACTAAGCTTTTAGCCACATGGACAGAATGTTGTACAACTTACGTAGGTGACCACAGAATAACGGTTTCCACTGGAGTGATTTCTGACTGAGGAACAAAGTGCACTTCATAGTCATTTTGAAAAGGGGGCGTGGCACCAAAAAGTGCACAGCTCACAGCAACAGACACGTGTGAGATGTCGCTTAATCTTCTCTTCCCTTATTGAGAGGTATAAGGAATATTCTGGTTGAGGGGCAATCCACTGTAAGTGACTGGATAGAGCTGTGTGCGTTTTGGTCAATGGGCAGCTCCTATTCTGCTCGGTTTAAGGACTGATTTTCTTTGAGCTGAAACACGAGAGATTTAAGATAAACGGTGCTACTATTTGAGATAAATGTTATTCAGCTCAATAGGGTATCAATAAGCTTCTCAGGCCTGTTAGCAGGCACCATATCTTCTGTATGCAAAGGTGAACTATACCTCCACTGAGGAGTGGGAAAAATTAAAACAGAAGTAGGATGAGGGGGGGAACCACACCCCCACCAATCCTTTCAAACCCCAAAGTAGTGATAGGTGGGGCTGGTAATATCACTCGCTGTTAAGGCTGCCCATCATTTTGTGTCATAAGATCTTTTTCTCAGTTGCTTATAACTTTGTCCAACTTTAATCATTTGGTTTTCCATACTGGGTGTCTGCTTCAGGCTTGAATATTGTGTTTTAAATTTCAGCTGCAACAGTTCAGCTGTTTCTGAGAGCAAGACTGGGAAAAACTACGATTTGCACATGTTAATAGCTATGTTTTCTTTGAAAAGCTCAAGTGCCCCCATGCTTTGGAGCCAGGGACTCGAAGTTTGGCAGGGGAGTGGCCTTTGGGCCAGGGATGTGCTTTTTGCTGTTCTTGTGAAAATCTGCCCAAATGTAGCCAAATTAAAGCCTTTCAAAAAAACTTAAGTTCACACATGCTCAATATAGACTCTATTTTAGCAGCTAAATTCTACAAAGATTCCATCCACACTGGGAGTGCTCCAGCACAGAGATGGACAGGACTTTCCCTGCTACTGCAACTCTGGGCTGCTGTGGACTATGCTGGATCCAAGCACCTGAACTGAGAGCAGGAAGACTGTCTCTCCTGTGCTCTCAGGGCTCTCTCTGTTGGGCCCAGGGAACCTGACGAAGGAGGTTACTTGATTCAAATGCAGAGGGGACAAGAGTGAGTAGACTGCAGCAAGGAGCATGTTGGGATGTGGTGGGAGGAGAAGGCTTGGATTGGAGACTGGCAATGGGGTGGGGGGAGGGAAGACTGGAATTAAAGCTAGGCAAAGAAACTGGGAGAGAAACTGAATGTGTGTGTGTGTGTGGCAGTGGGGGTCATGATAAGGAGCTAGTAGGTGGGGGGAGACTGGGATTGGATGAGGAGGTGGGAGGAGACAGGGACTAGCTGGACAAGAGAGAGGCTGAGAACCAGTGGGGTTGAGCGGAGGGGAGACCGATCTGATGAGGAGTCACATAAGAACTGGGTTTGGCTGCACAAAAAATCTAGGACAAAGAGACAAGTGAACACTGAGATTGGAATGAGGCCATGGAGGGAAATTGGAACAGGGATCCGGTGGGGACGGGGTACATGGGCAGCATGAGGGACAGAAAATAATCAGATGAGGAGCCTGGTGTGGGGGGAGAACTGGGAATGGCTGAGCAAGGAGACTGGGAGGAAGAGTCCAGAGAGGTGAGACTAGGGACTTGCTGGGCCTGAGGAGTGGAGACTGGGACTAGCTGGGTGAAGACATTGGGACATGGTAAGGTTGGAGGGGATGGTGCAGAAAGGATTGCACTTTGGGGGGAGGGAATGGGTTGCACAGGCCACCATAATTCTGACATTTGTTTGTGTGTGTAATATCACAGTAGGATCTACTGCCTCTATTCCACTGAAATATATCTAAGATTATATAATATTGCAGGATTATCCTGCTGAAGCCTAGAATGTCTGATGAGTCAGTGTGAAATGATGGAATCCTCTACAACCATAGCTGAGAGCTCTTTTTGTTCAGAATATCACCAGTTTCAATCATTCAATCATCATGTGAAAGAAAGAGTAGAATCAAATGAAGTAAAAACCTTAAATGAACCAAAGTATACCACAGAATCTCTATGGATAGTAATTCCAAGCTCTAACAAGAAGAATATAGCAGTAGGGATATATTACTGATCATCTGACCAGGATGGTGACAGAGACTGTGAAATGCTCAGGGAGGTTAGAGAGGCTATCAAAATAAAGAACTTAATAATAAAGGGGAATATCAACTATCCCCATATTGACTGGGTACGTCACCTCAGGACGGGATTCAGAGATAAAGTTTCTTGACACCTTAAATGACTGCTTCTTGAAGCAGCTAGTCCTGGAACCCACAAGAGTAGAGGCAATTCTTGATTTAGTCCTCAGTGGAGCATAGGATCTGGTCCACGAGGTGAATATAGCTGGACCATATAGCTGGTAATAGTGACCATAAGATAAGTAAATTTCACATCCCTGTGGTGGGGAAAACACCACAGAAGCCCCACACTGTAGCATTTAATTTCAGAAAAGGGGACTACACAAAAATGAGGAAGTTAGTTAAACAAAAATTAAAAGGTACAGCACCAGAAGTGAAATCCCTGCAAGCTGCATGGAAACTTTTTAAAGACACCATAATAGAGGCTCAACTTAAATGTATACCCCAAATTAAAAAACATAGTAAGAGAACCAAAAAAGTGCCACCATGGCTAAACAAGAAAGTAAAAGAAGTGAGAGGCAAAAAGGCATCCTTTAAAAAGTGAAAGCTAAATCCTAGTGAGGAAAATAGAAAAGAGCATAAACTCTGGCAAATGAAGTGTAAAAATATAATTAGGAAGAATTTGAAGAACAGCTAGTCAGAGACTCAAAAAGTAATAACAAAAAAATGTTTAAGTACATCAGAAGCAAGAAGCCTGCTAAACAACCAGTGGGACCAATGGACGATCAAGCTGCTAAAGGAGCACTCAAGGACAATAAGGCCACTGCAGAGAAGCTAAATGAATTCTTTGCATCGGTCTTCATGGCTGAGGATGTGAGAGAGATTCCCAAACCCGAGCCACTCTTTTTAGGTGACAAATCTTAGGAACTGTCCCAGATTGAGGTGTCATTAGAGGAGATTTTGGAACAAATTGATAAACTAAACAGTAATAAGTCACCAGGACCAGATGGTATTCATCCAAGAGTTCTGAAGGAACTCAAATGGGAAATTGCAGACCTACTAACGGTAGTCTGTAACCTATCATTTAAATCAGTTTCCGTATCAAATGAGTGGAGGATAGCTAATGTGATGCCAATTTTTAAAAAGGGCTCCAGGGGTGATCCTGGCAATTACAGATTGGTAAGTCTGACTTCAGTACCAGGCAAACTGATTGAAACTATAGTATAGAACAAAATTGTCAGACACATAGATGAACTTAATTTGTTGGGGAAGTGTCAACATGGTTTTAGTAAAGGGAAATCATGCCTCACCAATCTATTAGAATTCTTTGAGGGGGTCAACAAGCATGTGGACAAGGGGAATCCAGTGGATATAACGTACTTAGATTTTCAGAAAGTCTTTGACAAGGTCCCTCACCAAAGGCTCTTAAGAAAAGTAAGCAGCTATGGGATAAGAGGGAAGGTCCTCTTATGGATTGGTAACTGGTTAAAAGATCGGAAACGAAGGGTAGGAATAAATGGTCAGTTTTCAGAATGGAGAGAGGTAAATTGTATTTAACATATTCATAAATGATCTGGAAAAAGGGGTAAACGGTGAGGTGGCAAAATTTGCACGATACAAAACTACTCAAGATAGTTAAGTCCCAGGCAGACTGAGAAGAGCTACAAAAGGATCTCTCAAAATAAGGTCACTGGGCAACAATATGGCAGATGAAATTAAGTGTTGATAAATGCAAAGTAATGCACATTGGAAAACATAATTCCAACTACACATATAAAATGATGGAGTCTAAACTGGCTGTTACCACTCAAGAAAGAGATCTTGGAGTCATTGTGGATAGTTCTCTGGGGGAAAAAAAAAGTAAAAAAAGTTAACAGAATATTGGCAATCATTAAGAAAGGGATAGATAATAAGATAGAAAATATCATATTTCCTCTATATAAATCCATGGTACGCCCACATCTTGAATACTGCGTGCAGATGTGGTCACCCCATCTCAAAAAAGATATATTGGAATTGGAAAAGGTTCAGAAAAGGCCAAAACAAATGATTAGGGGTATGGAACAGCTGCTATATAGGGAGAGATTAATAAGACTGACTTTTCAGCTTGGAAAAAAGACAACTAAGTGGGGAGATGATAGAGGTCTATAATATCATGACTGGTGTGGAGAAAGTAAATAAGGAAGTGTTATTTACTCCTCATAACACAAGAGCTAAGGGTCACCAAATGAAATTAATAGGCAGCAGATTTAAAAAAAAAAAAAAAAAGTATTTTTTCACACAACGCACAGTCAACCTGTGGAACTTCTTGCTAGAGGATATTGTGAAGGCCAAGACTTTAACAGGGTTCAAAAAAGAACTAGATAAGTTCATGGAGGATAGGTCCATCAATGGGTATTAGCCAGGATGGATAGGGATGGTGTCCCTAGCCTGTTTGCCAGAAGCTGGGAATGGGTGACAGGGGACGGATTTGATTACCTGTTCTATTCATTCTTCTGGGGCACCTGGCATTGGCCACTGTCGAAAGACAGGATACTGGGCTAGATGGATCTTGGTCTGACCCACTGTGGCCTTATGTTCTTATCGCTGGGATTTATGGTCTGCTGCCATCCAATTTTTAAGTTCTCAGCCTTTTTGACTTTATGAATTACACCTGTTTGGTGTACAGCTACAGTAAGGCACATATCTATGCTATATCAAGAGTCCTAGACCACTGAGATGTCAAAGGTACTTTAGCTAATTACCACCTTTACAGGACAGCTACTTTGCAAGCAACAGTTCATTGGTTGCAGGAGACAGACTGAAGAGATGGTGGATTGCTTGGTCCAACTACCACAGCTGAGCACCCAAACTGCCACCCATGCAAATCTCCCAGCACAATGCCCCAGTCATCACAACCACCCACTCAATTCAACTGGCATGCACAGAAGCCCCAAACACACACAGACACTCACCTCAGCACACATTCGCCACCTGCACAAATTCCTACATCTTCCACGATGGTCACTCGGAGGCCTAGAATGTCTGCTGAGTCAGCGGGAAGACATGGAAACAGCAATAAGGATGGCTGAAAGCTCATTTTGTGTAGCATGTTGCAAGGTTCAATCATACCTGGGCCCCGTGAGAACCAGATGGAATGCTGGAGACCAAAGGTTCAGTGGTGGTTGGACCGCGACAGCTCATGACAAGAAGCGGGACTAGCAAAGAAGTGGTTGTGCTTCCAGCCAGAGGCCAATTCTGGGCACAAAATTTGAGGCACGCGTACAAAGGGCAACACTGCATCACAGCACGTGGAAATAAGAGCCCCCATATTTACTCACATAACTTTACCAATTACACACAAGTGACAGCATAGGGTTTCTGCTGCTCGCATGGTTTATTAGTATGGGATCCGAAATATAACATGGTATAAGAGGAAGATGATAATTTACAAACTGCTCCAAAATGTGCTAGGACCTTTACAGAGCAAAGGCCTATTCCCTGCCCCCAAAGTTTTTACTATCTAATTTTAGATGTGACACAAATAAGTATATCAACTAAGGGGACGACGACTAAAACCATCTTTTAATCTACAGAATAGACATGCTAGACAGCAGCAGTACAAGCTCCTGCCACACTGCCTGGTCTCTGTGATTCAACCCTGACTTGCTGGAACCACTTAAGATGGATAGTTGGATCTCTAGGCCGTTCAGCCTTTACCTGTGAGAGTCAGACTGCCATCAACAGGGCTAATTAGTACCAACATAATTGGGGGTTGTGTAAGGTGAATGCCTCTCCACTGAGAGTGACCCAAGACCTATGTTCCCTCTAAGGCTTTTTGTGTGTGCACACATGCACGAGAAACCAATGGCCAACAGAGCGCAGTCCCTCCCCACACCCATCCCCCTCCTCTCCAGCACTCATGCGGTCAACCCAACCCCATACCACTTACCAGCTCCCTCACTTTCGCTGTGAGCCCAAGAAAGGGGAAGCCCTGGAATCCTTCCCATACATCCGCAAACTAGAAGCACTGGAAGGAGCCAGGGCACAGGGAAGCCTATTTCCCCGACACCCAGACCAGTGGCTCTAGGTGTGGTAGGTACCTATGGGCAAGAGGTGTCCGTAGCAGATGGCATATGCACAATTTAGAATTCACTGATTCTTCTCCAGGCGTCCTGACTGCATTGATACATCATCCTGAAGGAGGGGCTGGTTTTCACACACTGAGCAACCAAACCCACCGGCTCTCGCTTGAAGGGAAAAGTCTTATGTTGTGGATAAAAGAGTACGTTACCAGAGATTTTATTTGTAATGGAATCATTCTGGGATCTCCTTACAAAGCTGAACAAGCTTGGGATTTACAGCTGTAGGTGAGGCAGCAGGATGAACCTGCTAACGTGGTTGTCAAGTCTCTGCCTGCATGCTCTGCCTGCAAAGCAGCAACCAAAGCTTAAAGTAAGTTACTCTAAGAGAGGGGCCATTTTAAATAGTGATGAGAAACAACAGACAGGAGCATTTGTATGGCTATTTCACTCTCTATAGCCAGGCAGATTCCCCTACAGAACTTGATTCAAGCATTAATTTGTCAAACAGCTTTTTGCTGACACTGTGATTCTTAAAGAACCGAGTCAAACACTTTGTGGTGCAGGTAGCTCAGCTTCTCTGAATGGGTCCGTCTGAGCAAAGGAAACCATTCCCAAAAGGGCAGCTCGACTACCACATATCCCATTTTCTGTAGCTGCCTCCTTTTCAAGCTGTGCAGTCCCAACAACTGTTTAGAACCATAGCAATACTGGTTCCTGTTTGACACCTGAATGGCTAGCTTCACACCTCCAGGATGCGGCCTTAGCTGGGAGGGACAATTTTTAGGAGAGGTCTTTGATTTGGTCAAAGCATTCAAAATGGTGTCAGTCAGAGGAACCTCATATGAAAATGCAGAATGATTCCGAATGGGTGGAGCCTGCTTCTGTTCTACTGCCTCCTTCTGGCTACAAGTCTCTGACCGAGTTTTATTACCCCCAAGTGACTTGCCACTGGGCTTCCCCTTCAGCAGCTGATTCATTAAGTTATCTGTGAGATGGACTCCAATGTCTTGCAGTTCTCCTTTAGCTCTTGTGGCAGCTTCTAAGTTAAAAGGTAATGGCTTTCGGTCTGTGCCCAAGTGGACCTCCACATCATCTGATCTAGTGTGAGGCAAAATCATGTGGTTTTTGACATACTGGGGTCCACCTAACATTACCTCAAGTAGAGAGACAGCTTCTGTCACTTCCGGCTTTACGCAGATTTCCTTCTTCGCAAAATTCCACAGCATCTCAGTAACCTCTTGCCGAAACTGTGGCGTAAGGCGATTACCTTTGTAATCTGGGCACTCGATCTCTACACTGCCATCAAGAGTGAACAGGTCCTTTCTGAGCTCAAATTTACTCTCCCTGGCTAACTGAATAAACTCAGCACTCAGAGCGTAATCTATCAGGTCATCTAGGAAGTGCCCAGAAAATGCCAGAGCCAACAAACAGGTGAGGAGATGTTCTGGGAACTTCTCAAATTCATGCAGCTTTCTGTGCATCTGGTCTATGAGGCTGGAGTAAAACCTCTCTGCATTAGGCGGCTCATAATTCAGGTATCCGAATGACCACAAGAATTTAGCAATATCTTTGCTACGGCAATACATCACCCTGGAAGGCAACAAAGAGGCTACTGCATTCATAATCCCTTCATCAAGGTAATGCAAGGCTGAACAAGCAAGAGTTATGTGCATGACACCCTGTATGCCTATAGTACCAATCCGAGGAGGAACGACTTTCCCAAGTTGCTTCAAGAATTCTAAATGATCGACATGAGTATAGCGGAACATCTTAAGTACATTCACTAAAGCATAATTGCTCATGTCTGCCATCTGGCCTGACACCTTGTCTCCAATTTTTCTCATGACATGCTCAGAAAAGGTACTGTTGGACTTGAAGAACCCTAAGGAAATGATGCCCACTTCCTCCAAGTTGAAGGAATCCAAATACTTCAACACTAAAGTCTCCAACTTCTGCATTAAATCTTGGGGCACCCTCCGGCCTTCACCGATGATATAAATCAGCTGAACCAGCTGAGGCAAGGTGAGGTCTTTCCAGTGCAAGTTAACATAGCTGAAGGAGATCTGTAAATAGTGAGGCACGCTGCGTCCCAAGCAGCGCCACAGGTCAGCCACCAGCAGTAGCTGATCCAGGCTCATGTCCCAGACCCTACGGCAAAATTCAGTCTCATACACTTTCAGCATGGAGTGGGTTGGTGGAATGGCTAAACGGATAAAGGCCTTTAAAATGTCAGTGAGTTCTGAGATGCTAAACAGCTGGATGTTTTCAACTCCGTAACGACACAGCATCATAAACTTAGTATTGGATCTCACCATCACATGCTGCTGCACTGGCGAACAGCTCAGCTTGCAAAAGTATTCCACAATGGTTCCTGGGATCAGGCCATTCTTAAGTACAGTTACTTTATGTAATATCAAGTCACCTTCTTCTAGAGGAAGGACCTGCAAGGTCTCAGACTTGTCATAACTTAGAGATCGGTATTCGGGTCTGTGCTGCTGAAACATTCTGGGATCTTCCTTAGTGTCATAGGCCTCCACATCAGCATCTAGCAATTTGTCTTCCTTGGGCTCCAGTGTGGCTGGAGGCACTGAGCTGGCCTGTGTGGAAAGAGTTTTATGGAACTCCAGATCCAGCAAGGTGTGTTTTGTGCTTGATAGACTTCGAGAACAGCTGATGCTGTACTTATTCTGAAACTGCTTAGCACTGATGGTGGAGAATTCATTTACAAATGGCCCTTCACTATCTTCACAGTTTCTAGCAGCATTCTGATGGGATGCGGTTTTGGTTCCTGTGTAGGCTGATGGATTATAAAGTACTCTGTACTCCAGAGGGTTCAGCAATCTGATAGAAGCCACAGCTTTCGCATCGGTGTTGCTCACTTCAGGGCTCTCATCCTCCTTTTGTTTTCTACTAGGAACTCTCTTCTTGGCCCCGCACTTGGTTGTAGTTGAAAATGCAACCATGCTGCGAACTCCGCCTGGAAATCTTCGGCATGTTATCATTGTAGCCATGGATCACAACTTACTGGGCTCAGAATTGTCTCCGGGTACTGAAAAAAGGGCAGATGAAGAATGAGTGGCTTCCATCTATCATGATGCATTTTTAAAAAACATACCCTTTAACACTATAGTAAGTAAGATGGTGAGAGAGACTTGGTTTCTCACATGGTTCAGAAAGAATTACTGAGTATCAGGTGTTTTCCTGCAAGTCAGCAGCTGAGTGTACTGTCCAAAACTATCACACGCAAAATCTACCCAAGATCAATGACCCCAGTTATTTTGCACAATGGAAGACCTGCCGCGTTATAGAATTGATAGGACTGGCAACGCAACTGTTACAAGACTTATAAAATGGCTCTCAGGTTAGGGAAAACATTTCTGTATCTTCAGTTTGTGAAAGGACCTAAGGTACTTTTAACTCATTTTTAAAACTGATTTCAAGCTGACAGCATCCCTTTGACATTTTTATAACTCTATCGTCAAAGCTCTAATAATTCCATTAGATTGTGTTTCAAATGACTCAATTCTATTAAGAAGCACCAACCAGAACCCCAGTAGTTCTCAAAATGAGGCCCAAGGATAAGCATTGCTCCACAGATGGAAGTATTCTGAGACTATGTAATGTAAGGTTGGGGTATTGGGATGGGAGGTGGATACAGGAGAGGGTCTCTCTCTTACGAAGTGGTACACAGAATGAAAGCTGGAGTGGAACTACCCTGCCAGAAGGATTGGCACCCTACCGCCAAACCAAAAGTAAATGGCTGTTGTGAGTGACTGTTAACACTGGGAGGGAAGAAAAGCAGCCCTAGAATGAAGGGAGGGCAATGAAAAGCACGAGAGAAACCCTCCAAAGTCACAAGCTGCTGTTACACTATCACACACTGAAAATCAGTACTTAGAAGAACTGTAAAGATACCAAAGAGAGTTCCATTCTTTAGGCCTGGGGAAGTTTTCTGCAGGTTTAGATGACATAGTGCTTCAAATGCTAGTCACCACCAGGGGCCTTGGCTATGAGTGCTCTCACCACTGCTACTGCAGATGGAAGGCAACGATGGGAAAACTGCCAAAACAAAAATCTAGTGTAGCCATCCTGGGTAAGCAGCCAATTTAGCCTCTTTAGGATGAGTCAGGTGGTGATTAGTTACAGCACCAGGTCACTGCTATGTGTAATATATACTTCCCCCGCCTTGTGTGGCTCACCCTGAGGAGGTATTAGACAGCCATCTTCTAGCATTTTCAACTTCCTTAAAAGCTCACTCTCTCTCTTTCATTACTTAGAAGAAAAATGTGTTGGAACTCCAGGATGCCAAATAATTAGGGAAGCCAAAACTCGGTGAAGACACAACAACAGCAACATGTATTAGCTTCTGTGCTCCTCTGCACAAAGGCCTCCGACCACAGGGAGGGTAAGCTGTTATGGATGCCTTTATGACTCTGCATACAAATAGAGCTTCCTGACTGAGGACAAGCACGTCAAACCCATGACAAGAAGAAGAAGAAGAAGAAAAAAGCCTAGTAAATGCTTAGCTGAGTTTTATGCAGAATTCCCCAGCGTAGCAGCAATAAAGAACAGACCAGTAGTGCCCTCTCACAATGCTTCATTTATTCTACTTTTATCATTTATCCTACTTTTCTTAGCCATGTTGCACAGGGTGCCTCACTCACGCTTTCTGTCCCAGGAAGAATGGCAACTTGGAGGTGGCAGGAGGAGGTATAGGAGAGTGAGAAAAGGTGAAAAAACAACTTGGGTGAAGAGATCGAGACCACAGGAGAAAGCAAAAGAAGAAGGGAAATGATTATCATACAAGAAATCAAAGCAGGCAAAAAAAAGATTCAAGAGAAAGAATTAAGGAAAAGATTGCTAGAAAAGAGGACAATTTATTTTTAAAAAAATATATTGAACGGTAGATAAAACTCATTTGCAGCTATTCCTGTCCAATACCTTATTATCTGTGTCTAAACTGCATTGGTTAGGGCAATAACGGTGTCTTTGTCCA